TTGTTTTACTATCCTTCCAAGTTACAGTGTATTTGACCTTCCTCTACGTTTCTCGCATGCTAAAGATGTTTCATTGATGTTCTTATGATTGCTTGGAAGATGGTTCGTGAGTTCATCCCTCGATAGCGAATTACAGTCAAAGATGCATTTTGAGAGATCTAATCCTTCCACGGCGACATTTTTTGGTCATCGAAGATTCTTACCAAACTCTCGCTTTTTGCCTATATAGGTTCGAAATAAATTAGCGCTAAAGTTAGTATTAATAAATCAATAATTGACCAAGTTCAAGTTGCAGTGTATTTAGCCCTTTCTCACGTTTCTCGCATGCTTTATATGTTGCATTGATGTTCTTACGATTTCTTGTGAGGTAGTTCGTGAGTTCATCCCTCGATAGCGACCTACAGTCTCATAGATGCATGTCAAGAGGCCCAATTTGTCCGCGGCGAAATTTTTTTGTCATCAGAGATTCTTATCATTCTCTCTTTTTTTGATTGTATAGGTTCGAACTAAATTAGCGCTAAAATTGGAAAATTAATAAAACAATAATTGCGAAGTCCAAGTTACAGTGTATTTAGCCTTTCCCCATATTTCTCGCATGCTGAAGGCGTCGTTGCATTGATGTTCTTATGATTTCTTGGAAGATGGTTCGTGAGTTCATCTCTCGATAGCGATTTGCAGTTATAGATGCATGCCAGGAATTCCAGTCCTTCCACGGCGAAATTTTTTTGGACATCGGAGATTCTTATCATTCTCTCGTTTTTTGAATACAGGCTAAAATAGCGCTAAAATAAAACACTTATTAACAAAGTCCCTTTTTTGCATATTTCTCATACACTGAAAGCGTTTCATTATATTTTTACGATTTCCTGAAAGTCGTTCGTGAGTTCATCCCTCGACAGTAACCTACAGTCTCATGGATCCATTTTAAAGAGATCTAGTCCTTTTGCAGCGAAATTTTTTTTTGTCGTCAAAGATTTCTACCAATTTTTCGCTTTTTTGCTTATATAGCTGCAAACTAAATTGGCGCTAAAAAGGTATTAATAAAGCAGTTTTTAAATAAATTCCGTGAATTTTGCCTTTAATTTTTTTTTTC